CATTAATTATAAATCCTATATGCATTACAGGTGTGGACTCTTTCTTTATTACAAACATGATCAAGCAACGAATGTTGTGTTTATTGTGAAGGGTGCTGTAATTAAAAGTTCTGGTGAAGGTCCTATGACGGATATATATAATCAAGTAGCTATTGAAAAGCCAAAAAAGATAATGGTAACAAAACATACCAAAAATATGGGAAAATTCAGTTCTGTCACTGTCTCTACTATTGACGAAGAAGAAGATGAAATTGAAGCTGTGAGTATATTTATTGACTATTACATTCTTGTATCACATTCTATGTATTTTGTATTTTCAGAGAGAAGTTGCTGACTCTTATGCGAATAATGCTCGAATAATAGAAAAACAATTGGAAAGAAAAGGAATGAATAAACGAAAGACAATGCCTCCACCTGAAGCAGAACAAAAGAGAGCAAGACCTAGAGGCACACTGCTGGACGTGTAAAAATTAGTTGTACATACATCGTTGCGTATCTAAAATAATTGTAATTGTATATAAATATTTTTACAAATTTTAATTTAGTTTTTTTTGCTAGTACTTAAATTTCATAGAAAATAAAAATTTAAAGAATTAGACGGTTTTTTTAACATTATATCGAATTGTTTATTAACATTACATAAAAGTAAATATTTAAAATATATAAATGACTAGATACAAATATTGCATAGAAATGTACATTGCAAAATATAGATATAAATGTAATAATAAATAAATACAATAACTATATATAATTCATTAATTAGGATCACTGGAGGGTAAACAGAATTCTACTTACAATCAGAATTATTAAGATGGCAACATTAAATGGTAAGACAAGGATGTACTTTACATATACTGCAACTGGTTAAACAAGTAAATAATTCTATTAAACAATTTTTTGTGATATGGCTTTTTAGTGTGGAAGAAAGAAAAATCTATCTAAATATTATCTAACTGGCCATGTTAGATTTATAATCTATAAATATGCGTGTGTAATACTATGACATATTAATGCGCGCATTGGTTGAAAACTGGGTGGGACATTAAGCTAACTACATTTATGATCAAACGTGATATTTTTATCAGTATTACTGTGAAGTATAATGAACTGAATGTAATTAATACCCAAATTGTTGCTAATAATATTCTTACTCCGTTTGTCATATACCAAATAATTGAAAAACAATTTAATTTGAAAGTTATATATCCCTAGTGCCATATTTCATTTATAGATACTTTTAACATTACAACAAAATCATAGCACATTTTCTATATATCTAGTAAATGCATTTTAAATATATTTTCTTTTATGATTATATTAACTGCAACTTGCATTAAATTAAAATTATATGTAATTCTATTTTTATACATAGTACGAATTCGCAGTTGGAATTATCACGTTTGCAATTAGAGATGACAGTTTGTATATATATATATATATATATATGTATATATATATATATGAGTCATAAATCTAATGGTGCAATGTAACCATAAAAACATACACAGCGACCAGTCTATAAATTTAAGTATTGATTTGAGAAGATTTAATATCTGCTTTCTTAAGTATCGTAGGTTCGTCTTTTAGAAAAGTTCCCGACCTAGAGCCTACTGTAGGTTGTTTTGCAACTTCCCCATTATGGCATTTATTTTTAATCTTATCATCGTTCGAAGCCTTACTCGCCGTTCTTTTATTGGTTACCGCAGATTTACTTACTTTATAAGCGCCAGATGATATTGGGGAAGATCTTTTACTAGGGCTTTCAGAACTCTGTTGATTTGGCAATACTTCTTTCTTTTCTTTTTTTAAATTAGAATGATTGGTTACGGACTGTGCAACCGATCGTGTATTCGCAGGTTTGGATGACACATTATTTATTAACTTACTTGAAATATCTGGTGTTTTTGCAGCATCTAGAAGATTTCGTCGCAAACTAGGCGAACCATGGTAAGCGCTTATAGCTGCTACCCTACTTCTGCTAGCTGCAGTCGAGCTTTCTAAAGATCTAAGTGGCCTTCTTGTTGCTGTCAGCGGACTTCTTTGCTGAGTCGGTGGCGAACTCTTTTTTACCTTATCATAAGCTTGTGTTTTGTTAATTGTTTTCCCTAAAGTCGGTGATAATTTATTTGATACATTTGATTTGGGCGTGGTTGTGATCTCAGTCATAAGACTATCCGTAGACATTGAGGTATCCATTTTAGTAGTTTTCTTTTTGGCGGCTACAGGTTTATTTTTTGATTCTGCCAATGAATCCACAGATAATCCTATCTCGACATTCTTTTGTTTAAAAGTTGGCGATTCTGGGCGTGTAATGCCACAACTTTTGCTGAGTGAATCCTTCTTATTATTCGTTCTACTCGAATTAGGATCTGTTAGGCTATCAGAAGAGAGAGCCTTCACATCCTTCTTTATAGGTAACTTTATCTTGGCCAATGGTTTTTTATCAGTAGCGCGTTTCATAGCGGGACTAGATGTCCGAGATGAATCCGATGACGAAATCATTATTTTTCGACGTTGATGTACTAGCACTTTTTCCTGGTGTGGTGGTTGAACAGTTTCTTTGGGAACAGACTTATTTCTAGGTTCTAAGTATCTTGACTTCACCTGAAAATTGAGATATGAAAAAAAAAACAACAAATACAAGTATTATTTGAGGAAATCTATTGAACTCCGAAAATGTAGCATGGTACCGAAGAGATAAAAATGTATTAGAAATTACCTCTATTTTATTGGGCCAAGATTTTGGTCTACTTGTTTCCGTCGTAGCTGGTTTATCATCTTGCATCTTACGTTCCAACGGATCAGTTTTAGGTTTGTTTATTACCTTTTTTGTTTGCTGTACAGCGACCATTTGTTTTAAAGTTTTATCATTATGTTTCGATATAACCATTTTCACACGTTTTAAATCCAAATTGCGATTTGTTGTTGAGCGACTCAACGATGATTTAGGTTCCTATAAAAAGTAAATGATTAAAGCAGGGTAGACAATTTTGTAATGGAAATTAATTTATATATTACATACACTGTTATTTACTTTTACAAAGTTAGAATGCCTTGATTGACGTTTTGAAGTTTCATGAGGTAGAATAACAAGGCAAGCTAACTCTTGTATTCTACGTCGCAGTTCTAGATCCATTTTTAACCATGTTGTGGTCCTCGCTGCTCGTGCTGCATCTCTGACTAAACACTTCTCTACACGACTTTGAATTTTCTTCAGAAAATCAATAAACAAAGGACCCCATTTCATTTTCTCCTGATTCTCGTCTACTTGTACCGATGCCAACATTTTATGTAATTTCGAATAACTTTTACACGCTTGTTCAGGAGGCAAATGTTCTGCAGCAGCTAAGAAATTATCTTCTAATCGACTGATATTCCATGTCAATTCTCGACCAAGGGATTGAAAATTTTCATTTCCCAATATTCCCGAGAAATTATCTGATAAAAACTTCATTGATGTTTCCAATAAATTCGAAACCATTCTAAATACTGGTTCTGCCCAACGCACATTTGGCAGGGTTGCAAGGAGTTTATCACAATCCATCATAGTTTGAAGCACATTGTCCGTTGACTAACAATGTATAATGACAATGTAGTAATTATTACCCACTTAAACGAAATTTTTATATTAAATATTACGTACCATGTGTACAATATGTTGATGGTAACATTTTTCCATCAATTCTCTTGGAAGAGTTGCAAATGCCTTGCATGGCCATATTCGTACGAAGTGTCTTGTGACCCAACGAAGAGATTTACGATATACCTCATCTAGACCATAAGCTGCCGCCAAAGGTATACATTCTAGTACACCTACGGCGCATATTTGACAGGGCTGAAACAAAAGAATTAATAATTATTATGTTTTACAAAAAGAAATAATGTACATTTTTAGAAATTATATGTACCTTATGAAACAAATGGCAATATTTAACTTTAAGCGTATATCCTATAACCTCTTTAAGACCCTCCAAGCATAGCATATCAGCCAAAGTTGCTAATTCTACTATACTTATAGAATCTGGTATATTACTTTCCCCACTATAAATGTGACATAATGCAAAATGTACTGCATCATAAGAGTATCCTTGCAAGGAAATAACATTTCCCGCATTTTCAATCCACCCCCCGCTAAGAATCGCTGCAAAATATTGACAACGAGAACTTAATATACATTTGTGAGCTCTTATGCGACGACCAGCTACATCAATCGTAACATCTGGATTAATTTCTTCTAAGAACATTCTTAGTAAATCTTCTCCCAATCTATTGTATGGTCTTCCACCTGCTAAACTCGATGTTTCAGTTTCTTCTGTACTTCCTTCTGAAAAAAATAAATGAATTAATATTTTATTTATTTATAATAATTGAAATATATATTTTTCTTCTAACAAACAGACTACGTACCTGCCCCAGAACGACCCATGCTACTCTGCATACTACTTAAATCAGATTCTGATATAATACCTTCACCATCATATTCTCCTGTTAAGTCCTCAAGAGGAGATTTTTGTTTAGATGGCAAGGAAGTGCTCATGATCGATGTGAATTTCCTGGGAAGTGGTCTAACCGATCCATTTGTTCTGGACATACCTAACTTGCTTTCAATCCAAGAAGTTTCTGGGATGCTATTACACATTCGATACGCAGTTCTGTCTTCCTTTACAATTAAAGTATCCGATGTACGAGAAGCAATAGGCGTTTTATCCAAATCCGATAATCGAACAAAGTTGGATGTTGTTGCTACAAGATTAAGTTTCATGGCTCTGTCATTTTTCTTTGATGCCGTGTTATGGTTTTCATATGTAGTTTCTGGTTTTTCGTAATCTGGATCTTTAAATTCACTTTCAATTTTTTTGATTGTTTCATTTAAAGATTTATGCGTCTCAGATATTTTATTACATACAGCAGGAACTGTTTGTGTTCGATCTAAGTTTGGCACTTCACCGTTTAACAATTCTGATAATTCATAATCATGATTATCACTATCTGGAGATGGCCCGCTACCGCTACTGATATCGAAAGTCTCACTTTTACGGGTTTGTCCTTCAGTACTCTCTGTACATGTTTTTTCCCACGCGGAAGTTTCTGAATATTCATCTTCGTATGTTTTAACATCACTAGTATTAAGATTATCCGTAGTTCGATCGGTTTTCAATTCAGTGTACTCATGTTCTTTTACGCTCACGCGAAGTTCTTCATTAATCACTTCAACATGAGAATTCGGAGGTGTGTCCCTTGTATCATATTCAAATGCATCTTCTGAAGATGTATCCATGTTACTCAGGACTCCGTTTCCTTCTTTAAGAAATTTAGAATTTTTTTGAGCAGCACATTCTGGTTTTATTGTGTCACTTAAAGAATGACTCGAACAACTGGGCTTTGCTTGTAATTTCTTTAAGTCTCCACGATCTACCGACAGGCTATGTGCTCGTTTGTGTTCCTTCCTGAACATAATTTCTTTTACAATGTGCCCATTATTATTATTGGTACTTTGCGTTTTATCCACATTCCAAGAATGTCGTTTGAATGCCGGTCTCGACGATGACAATGTTCTTCTTCTAACCACTGGTGAATCCGACTCTATGTACATAAACACGCTTGGTTTAGCCTTTTCTCGAATAGATTTTTGTTCATTGATTGATTGATCTTCTCTAGTTGTACTATTCTCGCTAGAATTAGTATCATCTGATTTTATTTCCACGCGTTTATCATAAAATGTAGAGAAACTTCTTCTGTGCGTTTGTTGTACAGTAGTTTCTGAGTTCGTTGGTGGATTGCTTAAATCAATGAACATAGAGAATATGTTCTTCTTGTCGTTTGCTTCATTAAACTTGTCAGGTTTGTTAGTAGATTCTTCCGTTTCTAACTTCTTAATTTTTAATGCGTTATTTGCGTGAGACATGTCAACATAAAATTCACAATAGGACTTACCACTTTCATTTTGATCTTTTTTCTGTGGTGGACAAATCTGTTGCTGTGTAACGGGTTTAGAATCCATATCCTTCAAATTAACAAAGAAACCTAAGCTACCGTGTTTTTCATGACTTATTTTTCTTATAGGTTTCTTGACACATTCTGAAGTAGAAAAACTTTGAGACATGCCTACATGCGAATTATTCGCTGATTTGGGGTCATTTTTATTACAATCACTCATATCAACTACCCATGCAGTCATGGAAGAAGACATTCTTGTTGATTTTATTTTTACTTCAGGTTCACTCATAATGACAGAACCTCCCGAAACAATTGGTGTAGACTCTGTTTTCCGACGCACAGTAGGACTATCAGTAGGTTTAGAATAATCCGAAGTGCTGACTCCACCAGAAATAATAGGCGTGGTGTCGTCACACTTAGTCTTCTTTAATGTATCCGTCTTAGTGTCCTTTTCTAATATACAATTTAATGTAACAGGTAAACTGTTACTGCAACTGTTTGACCCATTATCCAACTCTGCACCACAGTCCATTACCATTTTGTCACTAGCGCTTCTTGTTACTGGATAAGTTATATTAGATTTACCGTCATTTTGTAGGGAATTATTAGTTTCTGTTGACGTATGATCAATCTCATACTTTTCATTGCACAATGGCAAATACGGCATTGTATGATATTGAGTAGCAGTTGGCATTTGAACATCCATAGCAAATTTGTTTAGTACATTGCTTATAGGAATCTCAGGTTCATCAGGTGGGATGAAACATGAATCACCATCGACACGATGCCCTGAATATTGAGGTATAGCATTTTGGAAAACTAAAGTACCTTGTCGTCGTTCATATTCTTGCCTCAACACTGATAACTTTTCGTCATTAGAATCTAACTCAAACGTATTTCTCCTGATAAGAGAAGGTCGTCGAATGTCTTCCATGAAATCTGTATCTTTTTCGTTTACTTGCTCGATTACTTCTTTTTTATTATCTAAGTTAATAGAGGTGTCATTGTCGTTATTCGTCCGCGATACAATGTGTCGATCATTATTCATATTTTTGTTATTATCAGGGTAAGGAGATGGATGTGCGCTTTCACCACTATCTGCTTCTTTAATTTCTACAACTAAAGATTCTTTGTTAGTTTCTGTACCTATGCTTGTTTTATCTTCCGAAGTAGAATCGGTCCTCCTTATTTTTCTTGCATCTGCAAATGGTTCTAGATGTTCCGTGAGTTTTATTTCTCTTTCAAATTCTGCTACCCTTTCATGTCCCATTTGTAAATTACTTGTTTTGACAGATGTGAATTTGTAACACTGATCCTCGGTAAGGTCGTTAGATTTGTTTGTATTATATTCAGAAGGACGGGAAGTGTGCGATTGTGGTTTTTCATCGAAACATTGATTTTTAGTTACAGTTGAAGGTAGTACTATGGTTTCATCATTCAAGGTTGATGCATCAATAAAATAATAATTGCTTGTATTACAGGAACTTGTTTGTTTCGACACATCATGAGATGCTTCAACTTTTGTATCTTCCGACTGTGCATCTTCAACTTGAGAATAATCATAATGACATGACTTTTCATCTTGCGACTTTTCTATGGACTCTTCTTTAGCTGATTCCTTTTCCACGTCCGCGCTTACGGAAGATGCATTACCAAGATCAACAAATTCAAACAACTCGTTTTCATCGCTTCCGCAGTCAGATTCATAAAATGGATCACTAAGCACTTGATTTTCATACTGAAAAATTTCATCTGTGTATACTTTAGCTTTCTGCGCATTTTCCACAGATGAACTAGATGAATCTAGTTGTGGTTGTTCCGCATCGACAGAAGAACATGTTGCGCTATGTTCATTTGAAGCACATTCCATCAATCCTGACTCTACCAAGTCTCTTATATGGCATGTACTGTTATAATTATTGACTGAATCATAACGGTCTGAGTCTGCGACTACTTTTTGATCTCTGTTATTAACACATCTAACACGTATTTTATCAAAATCTTCATTCGTAGATGCATATTCGGTGACTTGTAATTCTTCAAAATCAGTACTAGAATTTTCAGATGCTGTATTTTCATGTGGACTTACGGAACCAGTTTCTAAACCAGAATCAGCCATATCGGATAAAGTGGGACTTACATCCACTGCAGCATACTCTTTTACATTTCTTGTATTTCTAAGATTTATTGTTACATTACAATCTGTTTTTGTGCAATCCACATATCTTTAGCAAAAAAATACACATTAGTGAACACACAATAGAAATATGTAGAAAAAATGAATAATATATTTTATTTTAAAAATTAACAAAATAAATTGTAGATTATAATTAAAATTTGTAACCTTTCACTGATGTCAGAAGTATTATTAACGCAAGGAGTGTTCACAAATTTTGATACATAAGTAACGTTCAATATAAGTTCTACCAGCAGTTGTTCCTCTTGTATTAAATTTGTATTGTTATATAAACACCTGAAAATGTACAAAGTATTAAAACACATTTCACAACAAATAAAAATAAAAGGAAAACATATCTAAAATATAGAGTATTCTATTATGTGCATTCTATGACACTGGTAATAGTGGTGATAAATTGAGATAGTATAACATGCTAATTAGGTTTTATAATTTGTATTTTTATTTGAGTAACACATATATATTTAGACACAATTAATAGTAAAACACTAAAGAAGATAATAGGTGCATAGAAAAGAAATAAAGCAGTAAAATAAGTAATGAAAACTTGTTTTTGATATATTAATAACAATAAATCCAACCCCTATTTACACTATAAATATATTTTGCATAAAACAATTGCATAAAAAGAAATCGAGTATTTTGAAAACTGCATACAAAATTGATATTATCTGAAAAAGTTCTCTTTTGATAGAATACTTTTTAAATGATATATATTACCATGTAAAAAGTGTGTATATTTAGACCCACTATATGGCAAGAAAGTCTTGTAATATGTATTGAAGAAAGAGATTATTTTTAGGTCTGCTGACAACATGAGGATTTCAAATGATACCTACAAATAATTAACAAAAAGAAACAAGACTTCATTCT